TTTTAAATGTCTCTCCAAGGCTACAGAGATTCAGGTTTTTAGTCATGCTTCCATATAGAGAGGCAAGATTTGTATTTTGATTTTCCTGTCCCTTCCCTCTAATCCCTTCCAGGTTGCCAAGAGCAGTACTTCACCAATCTAGGGAGACACAATTCCTGAGRTTGGATAGGAGAAGTACACCAGGAATGTCATGCTGTTCATTCCGATATGCAAAATCCCTGAGGAATTAAACTCTCTTTTCTCAAAGGGAGAACTGTACTGTGAAGCTCTCAGAAGGCCAAATATTTAAAAGCCTCTCAGAACACCTGATAGCCAAGCCATGGCTCAGAAGTTCWGCCCTCCATGCAAAGTCTGTTTGAGATTTCATCTCCTGGATGACTMAGGGCAGGGAGAAACCTCTGGAGGAATGTCTGCTGCTCCACATCCATCCTGTTTAACCAGMAGCTGGTGTTCAGTCACCCATGTGCCACTCATACTGAGAGGACAGCTCAGCACACAAATTGCACTATTTTGCCCGATAATAACACTGATTTGGCCACTCCAGCTGGTACTTACTGCATTCACAGTAGCTTTTGCACAGTCTTGACTGCAGCAGAAAGGGCTGTCAGACACTGTCAGGTTGGTGCTGGAAGAGATGGGGCACTTGTGAGAAGGTGCAAGCCCAGCCTTCCCCCCCAGGAGCACTGAAGGATGGAATATTAAATTCCATTAAAGAATGGAATATCAAGGATGGCTGTTGTGGCTCCCAAGCCAAGGGGCAAGGCCTGGGGATACAGCCAGCAGTGAACAGAAAGGACAGGACCACTCAGGAAGGGAAGTTCCAAGGTTTTTTTGTTTAGGGAAGAGGAAGGTGCACATTATCACAGGCATGAACCTACCAGTTGATCTCCCCTCCGTCAGTTTTCTTTGTTATTAAAGCTTTCCAGTGTTCGTGGGTGCCTTTGATGACATCCAAAGCAAAATCCTGCAGTTGGAGATGAGAACAAACATCATTTTATGTGGAAGCACCAGACTACCTTCTCCAGAMTACCAGTTACAAGGAACTGATTTTAGAAAGCTCTGCAAGGGGCTGGAAAAAAGCTTGTTTGATATRGTGCCATTCAGGAAGAGCAGAAACTCCCAGCACACAACAGCTGAAACAACCAGGATTTTACAGAGAATTGTTTTGCTTTCAAGATGTGAGGATCTGCCAAGATCACCAAGTGAGCTTGAGGCCAGAAGTGAACACAGTCTCGGGCCAGGGCTTCATTATAAAAGCACCTCCACCCTGCTGCTCCTCCCACTCCTCCCACTCCATTTGTCTCCAGCAGCTTGCTGATCCAGGCCTATCCAGGAGCTCTCTTCCACTCCAACCAAATAACTCAGACCAGCAGGAAGAGACACGCAGCCAACCTGGCCTTGCGAGTATTTTAAAATGAATTTTTTTCCAGGCACATCAATCTCTTTGCTTAAAAATGAGCAGCATATGCTCAAGCATTAACCTGTCAGCTGGAGAAGGAAACACACTCAGTTCTTTGTTGGTGTCAACACCAGCACTAAATGTYCTGGTTTGATACCAAACAAAGCCAAAGAAAACATTGCAGAGCATGTGTGAGGTTCTTCATCCTGATTTTCTGGTTTCCTTGACAGGTTTTGCCCATCCGGAGGGGCAGCAATATGTTCCAGCCCAACCAACCAAGTGCTGAACTACAGCCAAAGGGAAAAAATCCTTTGTGACCTCCACTTTCTTTACAGGGCTTTTAGAAGAACTCCCCTCCTCTGCACAAACTCTGGAGCTCTGGGAGTTGAGTCACCTCACCAAACCCCTCACAGCACTCCAGGAAGGGCAGGAGGGATGACACTGAAGCAGGATTTCACCTGCTCAGGARCAGGAATTTATCTGATCCAACCCAGAGAAGAGGCACAGGAAAGCACTGCCAAGGCAGAGCCTTACTCACAGGGTGTGAGGGAACACTTCATGCCTGAAGGAAGAAGTGTTTAAACTCCTGACTTAAGTTTAACTTGCACCAGGCTGCARTGGAGCAAAGCCAATGGGGAAGGGAGGCAAAGGGCAATGCCAAGCTGCCTTTGCTCAAGAGCTGGAGCATATAAACCAAGTGTTTTCCACCTGGTCCTGACACGGAAGCTCCCAGCCCTGCAGTGATCCCACATGAAGGAAATATTCAACAGTGYCAGGGTGATAACCCCAGGCACTTCTTTCTGGTATTCCTGCACTCACTAGGCTGGAAAAACAGCAGGGTGATTGACGTCAGGTATCAGCAGCCCCATAAAAATTCCTTCTCTCAGCAACTCACTGGTGTCTCCACACACCCTGAGCTCAGTTTTTGGASAATGTGTCTTTGCATGAAGGAACGAATCCTACCTTGCCTTTAAATTCCCCATTAAAAGCAAACTGRTTTTCCGGCTTTCCATCAGGTACTTTGTATCTTCTGAACCAGTCCACAGTAGCTTCTAAGTATCCAGGCTTAATCCTTCTGACATCCTCGATGTCTGGCCGGAGACAAGGGGTTTGTTACACAAACAGTAACAGAATATCCWGAATCACAGAATTTACGTGGCTCTGTCTGGTTGTTCCGAGCTGTGCCTCTTTCAGCCCTTTCCCAAGCAGCCTCAGCAA